AACACTTGTTCTGTAATAGTTCCTTTACTATTGTGATCAAAAATATTGAATCTCAGTTCTGAGGCTGCTCTGTAAATAGTTTTCAAATAAACCATACACATAGCAACTTCTGATCAATTCATATCAATTTCAGACTTAAAATAATGTATTGATGTAAACCACACCCACTCCCAGTTAAACCACACCCACTTCCGGGTTATACCACGCCCACTCCGAGTACAGATACAGATACAGATAATTTAGATGGTTGAACAGATACAGATACAAATAGTGGTGTACTCACTCATCCCTAGTTTCGTAGACCTGCAGACTGGCGTGGGATGGTTTTTCATGAATAATTGACAGCTTGTTAAACCATACACTCAAACTGATTTTACAACCCAGGCATCACAAGATCTCTCAGATACTTTATAAGGTTTTGGTACAAAACATCTAGCTTACATTCCATCATTTCATTCCATTTCTGTTATCATGTCCAAGTACCATTCATCATAATTTGTTCTGTCTCATCATTAGTTAGAAATATAGAATTAAATAGGTTTTTTGTAACTCTGTCTGAATTAATATAAAGTGTGTGTTTCCCTGAAAAGTCTAAAGAACCTAAGGTAATATTAAATCAATTTTTCAAAGGCCAATCAGATTGATAATTCATTTTATGTGGAATATCACACATTATTGACCATTTAACACATATGTAGCAACATCCATCAGGCTACATCTACAAAAAACTAAAAGCCCTCAAGTTGAGTTTTTTATTCAACTTAAAGATGGTCTCCTGACATCATACTGTCACACCCTGTCCTGTCTCCCCACTTGGTTCAGCCTGCGTCTCTGTTAATTGCTCCCACCTGCCTCTCGTTTTCCAATCACCCAAGCTCCCAGCCCTCTTGTATTTAAACCCTTTCAGTTCTGTGTCTCTTTGTGGATCATTGTTTCATTGTCCAGCGTGTGTTCACTATTAAAGACTCCAAACTCATTCTGGTTTGTCTGCCTACCTGCTTCCCTCACCCGCGTGTGGATCCTTGTATCTGCCTCACTCACTGGCAAGTGCTGACACATACATTTGGAGTGAATTTTACTTTTTACTTTTTTTCTACTTTGTATAGCTTCTAGGTAATCTAAAATGTAGATATAGTTACTCTTTTTAAAAATGTTACCTTTAATTTACTAAGTTAGTGTTATCTCTCTTCTTTAAAAAAGTCTAGGCAAAATTGGTGACAACACACCTGAGGCAACTTTTTGTGCAAATATGGAGTATAGAGAAGTGCAATAAATTAAAACCCAGTTTTGATTCCACAAGTGTTATCTGGTCTGGGAGTAAATCATTGCAAACCGTTGATGCAGCAAACATGAATGTCCTGGGAGAGTCAACTTTAGGTTGCATGTTTTGGGTTAAGAAAGTACATTATGTCCATAACATTTACGGGCAGGATTTCTAGGCACAGCGAGGGTGTTGAGGGAATAGGTGTTGAGAGGACCTGTTTTGGTGGCCTAAAGATCAGGTCTGCTTTATGCAGATGATGTGGTCCTGTTGGCTTCATCAGACCGTGATTTCCAGCTTTCGTTGTGGCCGATTGCAGAGTGTGAAGCAGCTGGGATGAGAATCAGTGCCTCTACGTCCAGGACCATGGTCTTGAGTCTGTAAAGGACAGAATGCCTATTGCAGGTGAGGGACAAGGTCCCGCCTGAAGTGGGAGATATTAAGTATCCCGAGGTCTTGTTCATAAGTGAGGGAAAGGTGTGTGGGCTCTCCCTTGGAGATAGTCTGAGAATCTTGGTCATCTGGGAGGGTCTCAAAATGCATCTGCTGCTCCTCAACATTGAGAAGAGCCACTTAAAATAGATTAGCCATCTGGTAAGGATACCTCCTGTATGCCTCCCCGGTGAGGTTTTCCAGCACGTCCAACCGACAGGAGACCTAAAGAAAGGCCCAGAATACTCTGAAGGGACAATGTTTCTCAGCTAGCCAGAGAACGCCATGGCATTCCAGCGGAGAAACTAGACCGAATTCCTGGGGAGAAGGAAGTCTGGCCCTCTCTGCTTAGGCTGCTGCTCCCACGACCCAGCTCCCGACAAGTGGATGTAAATGGATGGATGGATGAAAAGATGATATACGACAAATGACAACAACGTCATTGGCTGAGGCTTAAAATTTAGGAGGGTGCATAAGTCCAAATTGTTCCCTGGAGGGAAAAAATTTACATCTGTAGCGTTAAACTTACTATACATCAACAGACTGAATCAGGTGTTTTCCCAAATCTAACCAAGTCTTGTCTCAAATTAAAAAAATCTTAAAAAGTTATTCTGAATCAAGTCCATATATTCTTTTCTATATCTTGTTTATCTTTGTGATGATCAAATAGAACTATTGTGATTAAATCCTTTTCTGACTGTGGTCACACTTAAGATTTAGGGCTAATTATCCACCTTTATGCAACATCAATATACTGAAATGTAACTGAATTTTGTGGATCTTTTTAAGCTCCTGTGTGTCAGACTCCTGACAGCATCGTTTTATAACATTCATCATAGTTTTTTGCAATCCTTTCACTGTTCATTTGCAAATGAAGTGCACCTTGAAACTATGACTCATGATGGTGAGAAGCAAACTACCCTTACTTCTGTTATAGACACAATAGCTTATACATAACAGAGTGTTTCTGGGTCAGGCTGCGTCATCCTTTCAACCTATTTAGAACAAGCTGCAGAGATTGATAAATTTGAGATTTCAGTGGAATTCTTGTTAAGTCTTCACTGGAGCTGAGGCCTGCTGGTTTTACAAATGCCCCTTTCCTTCACTTACTTTCCTCTGCCTCGTGATAGCAAAACCAGAACAACAAACAATTAAAATTAATAAGCAGTATCCGAACCACATGTTCCTTCCAACACACACAAGTAAATGAGGAAACACAAAGTGAAATTTTAGAAAGCCTTGGAATTCATTTGATGGATGTGGCCCACTAATTCCAATAAATGGCTGTCGGCTCAGTAATGAATTGTGTTTTTCATGTAATGTTCCCAATTCAAGGTCCAAGCGTCAAAACAATTCACTCTTCCATTATCCTGGTGCACAAATGGCAGAGAGAGAAAGAAATTATGTAAATAGTTAGTGAAATTGTGGTTTTGGGTGGGTGGGTGGGTGGATGGATGGATGGATGGATGGATGGATGGATGGAACTCTTCTCCTAGTTAAACAAGGTGCATTGCATTTGATATTCTTAAAGGCAAGCCCTCCCCAAATGTTTAGCCGACCGTCATGTTCTTTTTCTTCACAAAATGTACCAAACGGTTTATTTGACCACTTTAATGTTCCTCCTGCCTCTCTAATGGAGTTGTTTTGTTTTAAAATCTAAAGATAGGTAGACAATCAACTCCAGAGTACAACTGTTCATGAAACAGCTTTTCAGTTCACTGTACAATTATGTGTAATTAAGTGCAAATAAAGGATTTACACATTAAAAATGTTATTTTGACGTGATATTGGGTCCTTTCCATAGATCTGAAGGCTCTATGATAAAATATTTGAGTATTCAGTTTAAAAATAAAATTTTCATATATTTTGTACAAAGAAATTATGATATAACCCTTGAGATAATTGTGGTGTTCAAATTATGGAGAAACGATGTCCTTGTCAGTGAATAAAATGCTATATAATGAGTAATATTGGTCCAGTAAAATGAAAACTTGTGTTTTGTAATAGGTTAAAAAAGAGTGATGCAGGCTCTTTATAACCATGCCCCATCTGGCGTGACCCATGTGTCCCAGAGGCAGAACTGTGACAAATAGAACATGACAACAGCAGAGTGCAAATGAGTCGGGACAGACTGTGATAAAAGACAAGGGGTATGCTTCATCTCAGCGTGTCTACATCTCTGGTAAAATCAAGTGTTCAAAGTGTTTTATTCCCACTTTATATCCTGTTTAACATGTTCTATCAGGCAGGGAAGTTAGGTGTCAAATGCGTGAGGGTCAATTGAGATGGGAGCACTTATGTAAAATCTGCTTAAATGTGATATATAATTAGTCTACATATCTTATTATTTTATAAAGGATATTGTGTTGCAAAAGCATCAATTTTAAAGGTATTGGCCAGACTCAACATTAGAATTGTAGAAATGTATGTAAATATGATCTGGGATCAATTTTTCATTTGAAGCAATTTTGTCATAAGTCATTGCAGAAAATCAAAATCCTCTCCTCTAAACAGTGAAGAACTTTGTTTTGCATGCGTCACTTCAACACGTAAAACAAGGTAGCTGCTGTTAGTAATGTATATAACTGTATTGGGTTTACTGGTGTGCTCATAATTATTACGGAAAATTGTGTTTACACCTGCAGCAAAAGGCATGAGCCATATGTCCACGTCCTATATGCATTTTTAAATAACATAGGTCTGATCTAAAATATTAACCTACATCTATAAATCCATCTAGAACCGCACCGTTCTTTCTGGACCTCAGATGAGTCCCGTTAGCATGACTGTAGCCGTGTTAGCTCCCGTAAGGTAAAACAAGTCATTTGGGAAAGCATAGAATGAGCACACAAATGAAATATTTAACTAAAGTAAAACAAACTAATTAACTAACAAACTAAATTAATATATTAATCCGGCTGCTGTGTCAAAGTTCTTGCAAAACTTTTTTTTTGTTTCATGGACCAAGAGGACATTCCATTGATGCTAAATTCAACTCAAATATTTGGAGACATTTTTGGTTTACTTTAAGTTACAGTAGGTTGGTTTTCTCACTTTGCTAGATCTGACCCTCACCACAGACAGTGTGTATTGTTGTTGCCAATAATAGCAGCTCAGTGGGAAGATTAGAATTTGTGATGAATAAGTAAAAAAAAACTGAGTGAACATTTTGACTTTATTCCAGTACCATTAATCGTTTGCATTTAACAAAACCATATGGAGTCTGTGCAAAACAGTAAACTAAAAGTGTTCAAAAACTGTGTGTGTGTGTGTGTGTGTGTGTGTGTGTGTGTTTTCTCTACTTTAGCACTATGAAGACCAGACTAGGTTGCCTTTCCAAGAAGTCGGACTCCTACAGCGACTTCTCAGAGTTTCTGCCTCCGGCTCATGAGACCACAGCCAGGTGTCTCAAGTAAGTCTGACTGCCACTCCTCAGCCTTCCATCTTGGTTTAGAGGACCTGAATCATGATATTTTACACCTTCCAAAGCAAAGATGGGCACAATATATGATACAATAGCAAAGTTGACACTGAAATTTCTATTTTGATTAAATATAAGGTATTTCTGTGAGCTATTACTTCAACCCATAAATAAGGAGCTTAGATTTATTGAATCCCCACCTCCCCCTATGTGAATTCCACAACAGTGCACAGCTGCAGACCCTGAGACTGTAGATTCACACTTGCATATTCACATCGACAAGTCCCACTCCCTGGATGGAGAAGGGGACTGTTGTGAAGTAGCAACAACCGCATCCAGCTGTCTGCAAAAGCTTAGCAAAGATTTCCAGATCTAAGGAGAAAAAGCAACTGAAACTGGAAAAGGGATGTATGATGCCAAAAACCATGTTGGGTTATTTTTCGTTAAGATAAAACAATAAAACATGGTCCAAAGCTCCAAAATTTGGATTTAGTATTAAATAGGATCTTTCGAAATCAGCTTACTTTACTGAAACTGTAACTGGAACATCGCCACAATGATAAGATCATTACAAAAGCTTTTAAACATCTTATAATTGAAGGTCACTATTAGAGATTCGCTAAAATGAAAATACTTGGCTGAAATCGAAAACCGAAAATAAGGAAAACAAATTAAGTGTTCTGGTACCCGTTCGTGAGATGAGACACAAAAATCGGTATTTTGTCCTACCCCTATTTCTAATATAGGAAACGTTTTACTGAATGGCTTAGTGAACTGAACTGTATTGGAACGTTTACTTTGTGAAGTGCTTTGAGACGACTCATGTCGTGATTTGGCACTAAAAAAAAAAACAAATAAAGTGAATTGTATTGAATTGTAATGCCTTGATTTAAGTGAGGTTAGTAGACATAAATGCTATGGTTTTGATTACTGAAATAATCTTTTATTTCGATGTTTCGATTTTCAGCCTAGCTGGATGTGACTTTTGTTGAGCCATCAGACAGAACCTAAACAGGAGAAACAGTTATTGTTTGTGTAGAGCATCCATCTTCAGTTCGGTCTGTAGCAGAAACAGCAGAGGAGAACTCAGCACATAACAGTCTATATGATAAATACTAGAAACGTTTAAACAAAAACACTCATCTATTAAAAAAAGTGCAGTCTAACGATTCACTTGTGTTACAGCCTGTTGATGTTAGATTACGTGGAAACGAACCGTACAAATAAAAATAGTCTCTATTCAGAACACGTCTCTGCTGTTTCTGATCATAGATTACACCCTAAACAGCAAAAAAGACATGAGCTTGCATTTCTATTGCAATTCTGTGTTTTCTGCTCATTGTGTCATTCAAATAAAAACTGGAGAAGCGTGTGACGTTCTTCGCCCCGACCCACATGAGTACACAAAACACAACTGAGAGGAGAAGGACGGCAGACGTTGCAGGATTCTCCTCTCTAACACAGAGTGAAATTCTCCGACTCTCATACAGGAAAATAATTTAATTTATAAAACTGGAGCTAACATGTTAAGCTGAAAAGCAGCTGAGAGTTTAAGACGGTCTCTAAAGTTGACAACAAGCTAGCCTAGCAGCATGCTGCCGGTTACGGTGGTTCTTGCGACTCTTTTTTTTTTCACTCAGCTAAGTTTTATTTCATATTTTACTTTTAATTCACAATAAATACACAGCTGTATGGTTTTTAAACACTAAAGAGAAGTCTTACATTTTACTCCGAGGTAAATTTGCAGTGTTTTGGATTAGGGTCCTTCACAGGCTTCCAGCAGCAGCGGACTGCCCGTGTAGGTGCCTGACTTTAAATCGGCTCTACTAAAGAAGCTTATCGGCCGATGCCGATGATTAAAAATGCTAAATATCAGCCCGATTAATCGGCCAACCCCTAATACCAAGCCACAGACATTTCAATGACAAAATGATTCCTGCCACGTACAAATAGATCAGGGCTGAAGGATAGAACTCATGGCTGTCTGTGGAAAGAAACATTTATTTTTTATGGTTGCTTTACTGCAGCAACATCTGCCTGCAGCTTATTACTTTACACACTTAACCAAAAAATTTTTTTTATTGAAATTATAATTTTTTTTTGCTCTGTTACACAAAAATTATTTAACGGTAGGCCACTAAATTTTGTTTTTTAAATTGATCCTGACTGTTTGACATTTAAAAGCAGTTAATATTTACTGACTGTATTTTAATGATTTCAGGGCAAAATAAAGTGAAAAGGTTATACATATTGTAGGCTAACTTGTGCAGTATCGCCGTATCATGATAATATTGTATTGTGAGACATGTACCGCGAATCGTATTGCGCTGTAGAAGAAGAAAATATAATTTCTATAGCGCCTCTCAACATAAAAATCATGAGGTGCTTCACAAAAACAAAAAATGTAAAAATATAAAAAAGCATTTAGTAAATGTTTCAAAATATATTTAAAATGAGCAAAAATAGACAGTTGTGATTTAAAAAATGTTAAGAAAGAGAGAGAGTGAATAGGAAAGAGGGAAAGTCCTGAGGAAGGTGGAATAGGTGGGGAGAGCAGAATAAAGAGTGTGTGGTGATGAAGGTCATACAAAAGCCAGCTTGAACAAGTGAGTCTTCAGCTGCTTTTTGAATGAGTTCACTGAGTCCACTGATCTCAGGCTCAGGGGGAGAGAGGTCCAGAGTCTGGGGGCCACAGCAGCAAATGATCTGTCACCTTTGGTCTTTAGCCTGGTGCTGCACAACCAGTAGGCTTTGATCACTGGACCTCAGGGACCTGCTTTGGGTGTAGGGACTAAGAAGATCGCCAATGTAAGATGGTGCTTGTCCATGTAAGGCCCGATAGACCAGAACCAGGATCTTGAAATGAACCCTGAAGTTGACTGGCAGCCAGTGAAGCTGGAGGAGAAGCGGGGTGATGTGGGTGTGTTTGGAGGACTTGGTCAGAAGCCGAGCACAGGCGTTCTGAACCACCTGTAGACGGTTCAGGGAGGTTCTGCTCAGACATGTGAAAAGAGAGTTACAGTAGTCTAAGCGTGAGGAGATGAAGGTGTGGAGAACTGTCTCAAGTTCAAAGCGGGACAGAATGGGACTCAGCTTAGCAACGTTCCTGAGATGGAAGAAGGAAGAGCGAACAAGAGAACTGACATGAGAATCCAGGGTGAGAGCTGGGTCAAAGGTCACGCCAAGATTCCTGACAGATGGTTTGGTGTGGGAAGCAAGCTGACCAAGAGAGTCTCTGACTTTGGGAACCAGCTTGTCTGGGGCACAGATGAGGATCTCAGTCTTATCTTCATTCAGCTGAAGAAAGCTCCCAGCCATCCAGGTTTTGATAGAGTCTAAGCAGGTGTGTAACAGCTGCAGCTTAGACATCTCATGGGGCTTAAAGGAGATGTACAGTTGGATGTCATCTGCATAAAGATGGTAGGAGATTCCTTTGAAGGAGCTCAGGATGTGTTGAAGAGGAAGCAGATAGAGGAGGAAGAGCAGAGGCCCCAGCACAGAACCTTGTGGGACACCATGGGTAAGGGAGGTGGTGGATGACCTAAACTTGGAGACGGCCACAGAAAAGGAGCGCTCAAAGAGATAAGAGGAGAACCACTCCAGAGCAGATCCCTATAGGCCTACCCAGTCTCTCAGCCTTTCCAGTAGCAGGTGATGATCAACAGTGTCAAAGGCTGCAGTCAGGTCCAGCAGGACCAGAACAGAACAGTCCCCTGCATCACTGTGAGTCAGAAAGTCATTAGAGACCCTAAGAAGAGCTGTTTCAGTAGAATGAGCTCTACGAAAACCTGACTGGAAGCTATCATAGATGTTATGTTCATCAAGAGCAGCTGTGAGTTGTTTAGCCACAACCTTTTCCAAGATTCTGGAGATGAACGGAAGTTTGGAGATGGGTCTGAAGCTGCTAGTCGAGACTCAGTTTTTTAAGAAGCGGGTGGATTACAGCGTTCTTAAAGTAAGCAGGGACCTGACCAGAAACCAGAGAAGCATTAATTATAGAGAGCACGCTGGGACCGATGGACTGAAATGCACTTTTAAACAAAGATGAGGGTAAGATGTCGAGGGGGCATGCAGAGGTCTTCATAGAGTTAACTAGTTTGGTTAGCTCAGGCAAAGAAACAGGAGCAAAGCTATCTAGGATGATGGGCCTGGTTGGAGTCGGGAGAGGCAGCGATAAGGCTGAAGGAAAGATGCTAGATCTAACCTTATTGACTTTGTCCACAAAGAAAGACAGAAAGTTCTCACAGTCTATAACAGAGTGGATGGAGGCTGTAGGAGTGGCAGGAGAGACGATGCTGCTGATGGTGTTTAACAGCACCTTGGGGTTCCCTTTGCTCTGGGACACCAGGTTGGAGAAACAGGAAACCCTCACATCCCTGACTGCAGAGGTAAAGGATGTCAGAAGATCCTTTAGGTGCAGCAGATGGACGTGGAGATGGGTTTTCTTTCACAAACGCTCAATTTTTCTGCATTGGCGCTTCAGGCTGCGAAGGCTGTCATTAAACCAGGGAGTAGGGTTCACTGCAGGAACTGATCTGGTTCTGACAGGACAGATGTTGTCCAGAATGGAGAGGCAGTGCTCGTTAAACTGAGAAGTTAAGGAATCTGGGTCGTTATCAGAAGAACAGGGTGGATCAAAAGCAGCAGAAAAATTGCTAGCTGTGCTCTCATTAAGAAAACGAGAACTAACCATACGGCGAGCAGGAGGTGGAGACGCAGAAACTGACAAGTTAAAGAAAAAGCAATGGTGATCTGAAATACAAACGTCCTCAGGACGAACACTGTCAGCATTTAGACTCAGGGTAAAAACAAGGTCCAGAGTGTGCCCCCTGGTGTGTGTGGGGCCAGAAACATGCTGGGTAAAGCCGAATGTGTCCATAAGGCTGGAGAAATTCATGGCAAAGTGATCAGAGGGATCATCGACGTGGATGCTAAAGTCACCAACAATCACCAGTCTGGACAGCTTCACAGTGGAGGATAGAAAGTCACTAAACTCCTGAAGGAAAGAGCTGTTTGGACCAGGTGGACGATAGACCACAGCACAGTAGAACGGGTCCTTACGCCTGACATTAATCAGCTGCAGATCAAAGGAAGCAGAGTGACCAGAGTTTGTAGAGCTACAAGGAAGATGGTCCCTGAAAACAACAGCTAGGCCTCCACCATGACCAGAACCCCGGGGCTGGCTAAGAAAAGAATAATCACTCGGGCAGAGTTCAATCAGACCAGAATAATCTGATGTTCGCTGCCAAACTTCAGTCAGAAACAGAAAACCCAGGTTTTTAGAGAGAATTAGATCATTTAGCAGGAAGGACTTATTGTTAACAGAGTGGGTATTTAATAGAGCCATGCTGAGTGGGGTGGAGGAATCAGAAACTACAGAAACAGCTGGAGTTAGTGGATGGAAAATAGCGGGGTTAGATCCACGGTGTTTATAAAAACCACTTATGGAGGGAACAGGAGGAGAAACCACTGAGGAATGAGGATAAACTGACCTTAAAAAACTTGGACGGATGAACCGCGCTGCAACGCGGCCTGGCGGGAATGCGGAAGTGGCGCTCAAGTCGCCAAACAAAGGAAGAGAAGCTAGAAGATCACGCTGCTGTTTACTAGATAAACCACGCTTTAAGAGAAGTCTTATTCTCACCTGGATTCCTGCTCGTTTACCTCTTTTCCTCCGACGTTTTCCCGGTACTGGACAAACATCGCTGGAGGCGTGCAGCTCGGGACCGTTGTTTAGCTCCGGGCCAGTGCGCCACTCAGGTAAACAAAGAGGGAGGTACGTCCTCGGTGCATCTTGGGCGATCGTGAATGAACGGAAGGACAAAAGAGTCTGGCGATCATAGGAGATGGTAACAGGGACACTACTGAAGAGGATTGCAGACAGGGGCAAGGTGGAAAAGAGGTTAGTGGAGAAAAGTTTGAAAAAGTGGCCGGTGACTGCGGCTAAGCCAAGCACAGACGCCACCTTGTTGCCGACCGCAACCCTGAGGGTCCCAGCCCTAATAAGGAACCCAGCAGATTGCATCGAGTCACTGACTAGTGTCAGTCTTTACAGCAATCCTCATACTAAGCAAGCATTTAGCGACAGTGGAGAGGAAAACCCCGCTCTGAACCTAGTAGCTGGAGCTTCACACACAGGGGCAGGACATGGCAACGTAACATCACAGAGTATAGGAGAGTGGTCAGAGAACACAGGAGGCAAAGTCTCAAGGTTCATGACAGGGAGACCAAAAGAGAGAACCAGGTCCAGGGTGCGACCCCTGGCATGAGGTAGGGACGATACCCATTGAGTTAAATTGAATGAATCTAGCAAATTCAAAAAGCCTTTAGCAATCACATTGTCAGGACAGCAGATATGGATGTTAAAATCCCCAATAGGACATAGTCATATTTTAGGATACAGTCTGCCACAAGACCATAGAAATAATTTAGGAAGTTAGAGTCAGTCTTTGGAGGGTGATACATCAGCACAACGAGCAGGCAGCGGGGAGATGCACAGTTCAGACAGGCACAGTTCAAAGGAAGAAAATCACATAATGGGTGTAAGCTGTTTACAAGGAACGCTGGATTTAAAAACAATAACCAGCCCACCACCTCTGCCCCGCGATCTAGGGATATTAAAACAGGAGCAGCCAGGTGGTACCAGCTCTAGCAGGGCACTTGAGTCACCAAACGGGATCCAGGTCTCATAGACGCACAGAAAACTCAAGCCATGTTGAATAAAAAAATCCCAAAGAATAAAAGTTTTGTTCTGCACAGACCTGGCATTGACCAGACCAAACCGAGTCTGCGGCGGGGCCGCAGCACCTGGATCGTGCACGGGAACCATCTCCTCCAGCTCAGAGCCCGTAACCAAGCGCAGATTCTCCCAGCAAACCCCACTCTGGCGAGGTCCTCGAGCTGAATGGCCGTGGCACGGTGCCAGCTCACCGTCAGAGCCGACCAAGTTCACAAGGCAGGGCGCAGAGTAATCCATCAAACGTCTCGGAGCCACCGGGTCACAAGCTGGGCCAAATCGCTCGACGAGCAGCTCGCTGTGTGCACCCGTGCGAGCGCCACCTTGAACTGGATAGGATAGGTTTAATGTTGTTGTCATTTTCCTCCGCTTATCCGGGTCCGGGTCGCGGGGGCAGCAACCCAACTAGGGAGCTCCAGACCGTCCTCTCCCCAGCCACCTCCACCAGCTCCACCGGCAGGACCCCAAGGCGTTCCAGGACCAGATTGGAGATGTAACCTCTCCAGCGTGTCCTGGATCGGCCCGGGGGCCTCCTGCCAGCAGGACATGCCTGAAACACCTCCCCAGGGAGGCGTTCAGGAGGCATCCTGACCAGATGCCCAAACCACCTCAACTGACTCCTTTCGATCCGGAGGAGCAGCGGTTCTACTCCTAGTCCCTCCTGAATGTCCAAGCTCCTCACCCTATCTCTAAGGCTGAGCCCGGCCACCCCACGGAGGAAACTCATTTCAGCCGCTTGTATCCACGATCTCGTTCTCTCGGTCATTACCCAAAGCTCATGACCATAAGTGAGGATTGGGACATAGATCGACCGGTAAATTGAGAGCCTGGCTTAGCTCCTTCTTCACCACGACAGATCGGCTCAGCGTCCGCATCACTGCAGATGCCGAACCGATCCGCCTGTCGATCTCCCGATCCCTCCTACCCTCACTCCTGAACAAGACCCCGAGATACTTAAACTCCTCCGCTTTAGGTAGGACCTCTCTCCCGACCCGGAGTTGGCAAGCCATCCTCTTCCGGTCAAGAACCATGGTCTCAGATTTGGAGGTGCTAATCCTCATCCCAGCCGCTTCACACTCGGCCGCCAACCTACCCAACAAGAGCTGAAGGTCAGAGCTGGATGAAGCTAGGAGGATAGGTTTAATGGATAAATATAACTGAGTATCATCAGCATAACAGTGGAAGTTTATCCCATGCTGTCTAATGCTTTTACCAATTGGAAGTTTAAAAATAGTAAAAAGAACTGGTCCAAGCACTGAACCATGTGGTACTCCCAAGTAACCCTAGAGTATGAAGATTTGTCATGTACATTACCACAATGAAACATATGACATAAACCAGCCTAGCGTTGTTTCTTTGATCCCTAAAACATGTTTAGCCTTTCTAAAAGAAAGGTTTTGTCCCCCCGTTTGTTGTCCATGGGGGGGGGGGGGGGGGGGGGGGGGTGCTTGCAGATCGTTTCGCTGCCATGTTGTCCGCGGCGGGGGGGATCCTGTAGACGTGCCGCTGGAATTTCAGCCATGGCGCAGCACCACGCTTGAGCGTATGTAGGGTAAACACAATTTCGAATTCAACACAAAGTTCTAACTTTGAAGCCCTGAATGGTCTAGCCCCCTTATACCTCTCAGAGCTGCTCACCCCCCCCCCCCACACACACACACACACACACACACCCCCCCGGGTCACTAAGGTCTGCGGATCTTCTATTGCTCATAGTCCCTAAAATGAAGTATAAAGCTCGTGGGGAGTGTGTGTTCGCCTTTGCAGCTCCCAGACTTTGGAACACACTCCCTCTGGTGGTACGCCAGGCTTCTTCACTGGCAGTTTAAATCCAGCCTGAAGACACTTTTTTTAATTTGGCTTTTGGTCAATGATCGGTCTTTTAAGCTGTGACTCTTCTGTTTTATTGACTTCTCTTTTATTGGCTGTTTTATACATTTGTATTGTTTTTAGGTGTTTCTATTTTATGACAACTTGTATCTGTGTTTAATGTGTATGTATGTGTATTTTGAATGCCTTTTTAGGTTTAACTCTGTGCAGTGCTTTGGTCAGCTGACATGCGGTTTTTAAATGCGCTATATAAATAAAATTGGATTGGATTTACCTGGGAAGTACTCTTGTGCAATTTTTAATTTGTTTTTGATTCAAAGGAAAAATACTTTTGTAAAAAGTCAAGAATAAATCCAGAAAGCTGTAAAATCAATATAAGGGTGTGCACTTGATTTAGATTTTATAAATATGAATATGTTTCACTGCCTCAGGAGCACGAAATAAATTTTTGCAGGAGATAAATGATGAATGTAACAGATTGATTTTCGGTAATCGATTTATTAATCTCGTGTGTCCATTTTCTTGTGTCTTTGTCTTTATCTCCTTCAGACTGTCAACAGATGAGGTTGTTCGATGGTCCGAGTCATTTGATAACCTTCTGGCTCATAAATGTAAGTAATGTTTGATTATTTTTCCTAGAAAACAGTCCCCGCCTCAGGCTACTTCCTGAGTTTTCATTTTTCTCTGCAGAATCTGATTCAAATTGTTTCCCTTTTCAAATGGTTCCTATTCCTGAGCGCTCTTTCCCACATAATGAGTCACATCCTTGTCTCTGACCTTCCCCTTACACCAAACACAGACTGACTTTCCCCCACAAATGCTTCTGAGTTTTCTAGCTGCTTACAAGCTGTGTGACGTTGCATCAATGACCTCAAGCCCACTGAACTGAAAGGATTAAAAATAGGGCAGGAAGATTCAGAGTGCATCTAATTTGGGAGATTCAGATCGATTCAAATCAAACTCAAACATTTTTTGGACCTTCTGCCCTTGGTCTCATCATTTTCCTATGGCAATTTAAAATATCTCAGCCGTGGATTAATGATGTACCGGAAATAGACGTTTATGATTGACTGATGATGAACAATAAGTTTGTGCAGCGTATTGTTTTTTTTTTAATCTAAGTCACAAAAAGTCACCAGCTTCTCCGTGACTGAATCACATAACAGAAAACTTTGTCATATTTTATGTCAAAATAAAATAAAATGAATTAACTGGATGGAAAGTAGCCCATTTAAGGATTTTTTTCACACAGATCCTGTGTATATAAAACTACAAACACTACAACATGTTGATGCATTAAGAATCCCATAGAAATGCAGTTAAATACAGAACAAACCACACTGCAAACCACTAAAATTGTCACGTTCTGCCCCTGCCTTCCTGACTGTGTCCCTCTCCTGCCTGATTAGTCCCTATTGGTTTCACCTGCCCCTTGTTAGCCTGCCCATGTGTTCCTCATTTTCCCCAGTGTATTTATACCTCCCGTCTCGTTATGTCCTTTTTCAGATCATTGCTGTTTCAAGTCACCGTTGTGTTTGTTCCTGCCATTCCCGTTCTGTAATTAAATTCATTTTTACTTTATCCGAGCCTGCATCTTTGCCTCCTGAGCTGCTCCACCACAATTGTTCCATCATCTCCACACCCACGACGTGACAAAAATAATGTTAATACCTACAAATCCTGATGAGTTCTTAAAGGTGTGGATCACTTGTGTAATCAATATATTTGCAGTGGTCTCTAGTAGGAATGAATGCCTTGTAAGTCATACTCTGGGGGAAAAAATGCAAATTTTTTTGTGTGTTTTTTTAATATAAATTGCAGCAATGACACTGAGTAATCAAACTGGAATTTGAGGAGTTAAAATTCTCAAAATTATTTAAATTAATACAATGTGAGGAGTAAAATGTGGTCTGCCAAGGAGATGACCAAGATCCAACAAGTGCAAAACCATTTCAATAGAAGCAAAGAACCAATTAAAAAGTAACATATAATAATTGAGGATACTGCAGGTCTTCAGTGTTGATCAGGACCTAATGTGAGACAGCAAGTTTTTCAGAGAAGCAGCTACAGTGCAAATTCACCTCCGTGACTTAATCTGCTCCTCAGCACATCCTGCTGCCCTCAGTGACCTTTTAAAATATGAAAAATTTGAATATCAGAAAGTAGCCCATTTAATGATAAGATTTGCCTATGAGAACCCCAAATATACCCGGATATGAAAGTAAAAAAATTATTCAAATAACCTTTTGAAGTGATTCGGATCTGGAGTTGAAAGATTGACTTGGCCTTAGCTAAGGTCACCAGATGGACACATTCATTCTTCTATTAAACAAAATGTGCTTTGGAGAATCATACCCATGTAGTTATAGACGGCCCAATGCTTGAAACAGACAATAAATGATTTGACAACTAATTCAGGGAACATTTGTTGTGCAGATTTTTGTTTTTTTGCTTCTGCTAAAACAAATAAAGACAAATGTGTTGCATTATATTTTTAAGATGTTGAATACTTGCATTTTCATTTTTTGGGGTGAACCTCTTGTTGCCAGACTGCAGATCTGATGTGAAAAATATAAGACATTATTTTTTTCTCCCTAACTCCTTCAGAGCTCATCTAACTTCAGAGACTTGGTAGGAAAGTATTAACTGATCTGCTGTCAAATCTGCTCCACTTTCCTTTCATTTAAAGAGAAACAAAAATGCTACATTTAGGTTTTAAACTCTGCAGAATAGTCATTAAGTGTCCCACATCTCCGGATGTAATGGTCTGTTTTTAGAATGGACAACCATCACTATATAATAAAGACACACAGGCATTAGAAAGGTGCCCACAGGCAGCAGGAAGCCTGTTAAAGAGGTTACCTCAGGCAGAAAAGGTACAACACACCTGTGCTTTCGATTCAACTAACCAAGCATTAAATGTGTGCATGAACGGACACAAACACTTACATATACTATTACATAAGTAATGACAAGACAAATGGGGCACAGCACTGAATGTTCCCTTTGGAGGAATATTGCATCCACACAAGCCTTAATTTGATTGAAAGGGATGAATAGTGCATTAAACCCGACTGATTTTTGTTGTTATTGAGGGCCGAACCGCCACAGGTTGGCAGCTCTCACATGTGTGCACAGAGCACAAACACAATAAACAGCCTGTGCTGCTTATTCATGTTGCATCAGGGCTACTGACTGGATGTGAACTCGCTTGTTTCTCACAACATCTTTGAGCTGTTACGACATATTTCATAATTACAACAAGCTTCACTCTGTTCAGTCGCATCAGCTGCAGAGATAATTATGCAGACAACAAACGTTTCAGCTCCAACTATATTTAAACATAAAAAACAAACATTCCACTAAGAAATAAAATATATAGATTTGAGCGGAACAGGCCAGTGACCAACATATGAGGATGGTGGGTCTCGGAAGGTCAGGGAGGACTTCCTACTCCAGTAGAATAAAGTATTTGTGTTATTTGTGGGGTTGCCAATTCGCATCAAAGTACAGAGACTCCATTATGAATGGGCCAGTGGTGGACTGGCTATGGCCAGGGAGCACCAGGACATTTCCAGGTGGCCTGACAGCTGAATTTTTTGCCACCACACTCGTGCTACAAAGGAGGAACGTCAATTTGTCATTCTACTCTGGGTTGGTACGAAATTCCCAGCCTTAATTATTGTACCAGTCCGCTCCTGGGCTTGATGCTTTAAAATCAGCCATTCTAGAATCAAAAAACGTTGAGTTTCCATAATTTAAAAAAATCAGATTTTACAAACAGACCAGATATTTGTTGAACCTCTTTTTCGAACCATTTATAGACTTTAAATGTTCTCCTGTCCACCTCCTTTAAACAGATACAGCTGTGACGTTAGTGCCTTCTCACTAGTCTAGTCTAGCGTCCAAAATCTTTAGACTTAAGATTTCATTCTTTTTCACCCCATGGCATAAAAACCCAAAACTGTTGCACTGAACCACTGAGACAGATAGGGCTGCAACAAATGATTATTTGGATCATTGATAAATTGGATGGGGTCTTGAATCGATTAATCAATTAATCTGATTAAATGGGAAACATTTTTAACTAATGGGGAAACATTTTTTCTCTCCTTCCTTTACTTTATTCAACAACAGAACATGATTTGAAAACAGTTCAATAGCATACAAAACATCATGCTTTCACCTAGATATATCCATAATTAAACTATGATCAGTAAAATGTAATGCATCTCATTAACATGTTCAGTAGTAAGCTACTGGAAATGCTAACAACATTTATTTTCTACTGCTAAAACTATAATGGTAACAGAACTATTATGTACGGGTTAGCAATAATTCAAATTAAATAATTTTTCTAAGATAGACGCTTTTGTGAATTACATGCTACAGTGGCTTGCCATCCTGCAGTGGTGTTTAGCAGAGCAGACTTGATGCAGCAACCTGACTGCAGAGGTTCTACTGCATAACGCTGCAGACAGCTAAGAATAAACGGGAAGATGGAGACTTTTTTCTACTTGTTGAGTTTAGATATTCTTAGTTTTACAACCATCCTGTTTTTCGGAACCCCACTTGATTGTCAGCCTGCTACCGGCTAGCATTAGCTAATCTGCCCATAGTTGCACTTTTGATCCCAAACTTTGGACTGTTTCTGCCTGTGACTTTGCTGGTTTATCCGTTTTCCTCAACAGCACAGAAAAAGCACATTGTACACATTGTAAAAGGCATTTTTCTTACGCAATAACAAGCAACTTCATTTGTTCAGTAAAGTTCTGGGGGAAAAATGACTTGAAAAGATGTTGCACGAGTGCTACGTCTAAAAATAGTTTATGGCACACTGAGTTTTTTTCATTGCACGTGCGACATAGAAGAAGAAGATGAAAGTATCATTTCTATAGCGCCTCTCAAGATAAAAATCATGAGGTGCTTCACAAAAAAAATGTAAAAACATATAAAAGAATTTAGAAAATGTTTAAAGATATGTTTAACATGAGCAAAAATAGACAATTGTGATTAAAAGAAATTTTAAGAAAGAGAGAAAGTGAACAGGAAAGAGGGAAATCAGTGGGTCCTGAGGAAGGTGGAATAGGTGGGGAGAGCAGAATAAAGAGGGTGATGAAGAAGGTCATACAAAAGCCAGCTTGAACAAGTGAGTCTTCAGCTGCTTTTTAAAGGAGACCACTGAGTCCACTGATCTCAGGCTCAGGGGGAGAGAGTTCCAGAGTCTGGGGGCCACAGCAGCAGATGATCTGTCACCTTTGGTCTTTAGCCTGGTGCTGCACAACCAGTAGGCTTTGATCACTGGACCTCAGGGACCTGCTGGGGGTGTAGGGACTAAGAAGATCACCAATGTAAGATGGTGCTTGTCCATGTAAGGCTCTATAGACCAGAACCAGGATCTTGAAATGAACCCTGAAGTTGACTGGCAGCCAGTGAAGCTGGAGGAGAAGCGGGGTGATGTGGGTGTGTTTGGAGGACTTGGTCAGAAGCCGAGCACAGGCATTCTGAACCACCTGTAGACGGTTCAGGGAGGTTCTGCTCAGACACGTGAAAAGAGAGTTACAGTAGTCTAAGCGTGAGGAGATGAAGGTGTGGAGAACTGTCTCAAGTTCAGAGCAGGACAGACATATGTCTCATTTTGATCTGCCTTGGCCTGCTACGCAAATTAACTGTTACATTAAAGTTGCACAACATGAAAAAAAGTTGCACAACACAACCAACTGTTGATGAAATGCATTGCCAACGCATTTCTTCATAGATTGATTATTGATTTGTTGTTGCAGCCCAAAAGACCAGTGTGTCAATCATAGGTCCTCCAGAATCCAGTCTTGTTACAGCAGGCATTCTCTTTCTGTCTATTAAAACATTGAATTAAATACTAACAGAAATAATATTCATTAAATAATCCTAACAGACCTATATTGAAAACACACCTGTGTGTAAGTGTGTTCTGTGCTCATTTACACAACCATGTTGCAGTAAACACCACTTGATATTTCTGTTTAATTAATGAACTCCCCCTGCTCTCTCCAGCTTTGTTAGGCAAACAGGGAAAAAATAGGGAGGGAGAATAAAATGTCAACATGACATAAGTTAGTAGGAAAACATGCCCTTCCTCTGTTAACATCAATAGATGGATCACTTATCTTGACTGATGAGGAAAAAGCGGATTGTGGGTGTTTTGTGTTTGTTTCTGTTTTTGAACAGGTCATACTTTCCCATGAAAGGAAAATGTCAAAATATAAAGATTATTTACTTGGAAATGTATAAAATTTAACAGAAATATGTAATTTTACAAGTGCGGTTGGCATAGTCTGGTTTTAAACATTTGTCTCTATTTTCTGGTTTACTTGATTTAGTCTTTTTTCCCCAGATGGACTGGCTGCATTCCGGACCTTCCTCAAGTCGGAGTTCAGCGACGAGAATATTGAGTTTTGGATGGCATGTGAGGACTACAAAAAGATCAAAAGCTCAACCAAGCTTGTGTCAAAAGCAAACAAAATATTTAAGGAGTTTATTGAGGTTCAGTCACCAAGAGAGGTGTGTTTGCAAGGCTGGTGTTTAAAAAGTATTAAAATGACCAGAAAAACACAACAGAACACAAAACATTCAAATCACCTGATAATGGTTTGTTATGGAAAGATTATAAAACTGCTCTTGCATCTGCTGTAATTAGCTCAATGAATAATTTCACTTGTAAAAATGCATTTTGAGAATCTCCTCTTTGCTGTCCTTTACCTGACAGGTAAACATCGACTACCGCACCAGGGAGAAGACCAAACAAAGCCTGGCCGATCCAACTCCAAACAGTCTCAACGAGGTCCAAGGTAAAATCTACAGCCTGATGGAGAAAGACTCGTACCCACGATTCCTCAGGTCCAAGATGTACCAGGATCTAGTCAACAGGGCACATGCACGAGGCCAGAGGAGGTCTGTTTGACTGGATACCAAACTGAACTGGACCTACACTCTAGATCAATTAACCCTTTGACGTCAAATTAATACTGTGAATCTGGAAGAATGCAACGTGCTTGACTGTTTCTTTTACACTAGCTCCATGCATGCAACTCCTGTAGATAGCTACTGTCATGATGACTGGCCTATACAGAGAGGATATTACCAGGTGGATGTATAATACATGTAAAATCACTCAGAAATAAGGTTGATTGCACTATAAACACTTATTCATCTTGTGTTGATAAAACACCATGTGATTAAAGTTAGAGTGAAAGCAATTAAAAAACACACATATACTAACATATTGGACTGAAACACTACATTTGAATTTTGTTGAAATATTCTGTTGTTGAGGCAGAAAAGAAAGTTTTAACATGAACAGAAAAGAATGAAACAGTAAAATATTTAAAATTACTCATATATATCTGCATAGATTCAGTCCTAAAATGGTCAAAAACAATTTTATTGACAGTATCTCCTGCCATTAACGAACTTCCGGACAATGTTTGGTTAAGAGTTAATGTAAAAACAAAAAGATCAAAATCTATTTAAACTGCCAAAACATTAATTATTGACTATGAGCTTACATTGATATGCACAAACTTACTGCGTCTCAGTAATATGTGATTATATTGTATTACACTGTGAACTTTTGCACTAACAATTTAAAGATCTTACAATGTGGTTGTACCTCAAATTAAACAAGTTGCGCAGCCAAAGTCCAAAGCCTCTAATTAAACCATCCACAATTTACCACTGTTACATCTCAAACAAAACCAAAGTACATTTGGTGTGTGTTTATACTGAATATTAAAAATAGCTGTGGGCAGCGAACTTATCTATTAACATCTTTTTCACATTTGGAGCTGTGAACACATTCTTACTGGCTTCAGCCTCATTAGCTGCTGATCATGGTGCAGCTCTGCGCTTAAAATAAATACACATTAGAAGAGTGATTAATAAAGATGTCCAGCTGGTATTGGTGGTTAACAACCATAGAAACCATAAGGAAAAACAAGATAGATTTTTGACCTCGGTCAAATTTTATCCTTACATTTTCCTGAGGCCCTGGTCGGTTTCTTGCACTGTAAATAATATTCTGTTGCATTTAGACTTTTTTTATTATGTAGGGAGCCTAGATTAGAACTGTATTTATTTTGTTACCTTATTTTAAGTAATTTATTTCAAGAAAAATAATAGGGATTAGGGTTAACTATAGTTGTTTTTATGTTCATGGTTCCTGTGAATTTTAAATAGCTAGGGAAAAAAATGTCCACACAAAAAATAAACAAGTCTTGCATTATTAAGTAATTTTCTAGCCTTCCAGCACATCCTTTAGAGTTTGCATAGCACAAAATAAATTTTACAATTAAAGGCATTGAAATATTTCCTCATAGGTAATATTGCTGTTGAGATTAATTTTGGGATTCTTTCGTTAAAGAGCAAATTGCAAGTTAGAGACTCACATGAACCGATGTTAAGAGAAACATAATAGAAACTCCTTTTTAAAAACATTATTACACATGCATAAATTATTTTGGATTTTAGAATCATTTTGTGAGAATTTTTATTTTTAATTTTTTATTTTTTGCCAAACCAAGTCACGTCAGTTTAGGAAGTCGTATTGGCTTAATCCAGTGAAAAATATGGATTCTAATATGGCTCTGACACAGAGGAAACTTTTTATGTTTATATTTCTACTTATGATGTTATGAGTTTGCTGCATGCCCTAGAGAGCTGAGACAAACGAGAGGGAGAAACGATCGGCCAAAGCAGTGAGATTGTGCTGCAATGTGAGGGGGGGAGCAGCAGGTGTCTGGTGAGTTAACGATGTTAGCTTCAACTCGTATGCTAACATCACAATATTGTACAGATTACTATCATGTACCAGACAATTAAACATAGTATCGGTCATTTAATATAATATTAATACTAATGAGCATCTGTCAGCTGTCTCATACTCATTAATGTCCGTTCACGAAATGTAGTTTAGCGCTTAGAGAGGGAGAGAGAGACGCCTGTGATCCGGTTCAGGAGCTCATGCAGGCTTATGTGAGCTGGATCCAACCTAGACACCAGCGAGCCAGTCGAGCTAGTATTTTTAAAAGCTATGCATGATCCTCTCCTGGATGTCTGCGGCGGTTCTGATCCAGTTCCAACTCATAAACCAGCTAAACTGGCTCACTGGTGCCTTTAAAAGCCGCGCATCCACACCTGGTGGTCCAGGCGGCAGTTCTGATCTGGTTCCGACCCAGAAACCAGCTCCACTAGCCCGCCTAGCTGCGGGTCTCTTCTGGTGATCGGTTCTGACCGGATTCTGATGGTGATCTGAGTTCCAGAAATCCGCATTTAATTTTTAAATCCCCGCTATGGGTCTCCAGAGCACAGCGCAGACCTCCCTGTTCCGGTACCAACCAATGTGGGATACAGAAGTCCGTCTTTTCAGCTGCACAAAACGCCCTCAGGCATAGAGATAGAGGCATTGTTTCTCTTATCTGGGAACACGTGGATTCGATATCCAGACAGGCTGGAGTTGGTACAGCCTTCATAAACTATAGTTTATCAAAATGAACACAATCCAAAACTAGTAAACACACACACTGAATGGATAACATAACCTCTCTACCCTAAAACTACCCACTCCACACTGAGCTGAGGCAGCACCTAGCTTCTAACTCCCTTTGGTTACGTTAGAGGTTCAGATTTAGATAAAAAGAGCCTTTTTAGAAGCTTTGCTGAAAAAGGCCACTTTTTACTCCAAAAGCTCTGCCGTTATGTATTTTAACACAAAATATCAACATTAAGCAATTCAAATAGTATTTTTGGACAGCATTTTATACAAATTAGAAAAAAGATTTTACCTGCAATTTCCTCTTTAATTTAACACATTTAACCGTTAGTTTTAAATGGTCAGACCAAAAAAATAAATTCTCTCTTAAAATGTACCATCTTTTAAAGTCAGTGAACACAGTTTTATATATTTTATTGCAAATTTAAAGCCTTCATACTTATTTGTTTTAAAAAACATACATTGTCATATTAGTTTTCTACCATTCTTTTTCATTTAAAAATAGTTTTCCAACTCTGGTATCAATAAAATACATCTCATCTCATCATCTCATGTCGGATTTACTTAACAGACCGTAACAAACTATATTTTAGCAAATGCTTTGCTTATAGATTGTTTTCCACCTACGACAATGTGGTGAATATTTGTTGCCTCTGATGTCAGCAGATCCTGATCAAAAACACTTTGTCAAGCTCAAGAGATAAATAATAAAACTTGCACTACATAGTGGGATCTTATGAGCTCTAAGGTAACTGATTTATAATTAACAATGACTTCCCATCTAGGGATGGGTACCGAATTCGGTACTTTTTAAGGTACCGACCGAATTCCACAGTACCGACCGAGCACCGATTCACGTCATTTCAAACGGTGCCTCGTTTCGGTACCCGTCCTTCATAACGAGAACTTGCCTAGACAGCTGCGCATGCGCAAGAGCGTTTTGTCGTCGCTCGCTGCGAACCAGTTGTAAACAGAGCAGCATGGTAGAAAGAACGCACGCTAAAGCTTGGGTCCACTTCACTAAATGTGATGGGTAACTGGGTCACGATGAAACCAGCGACAACGATTTAAGTGAGAATTCTTCATCTTAATCTGCTCCGGTAGGTAAATATAATTAGCTTGATATGTTAGCTTCCGTTTCGCTAATGGTGCGTTCGCTTTCTCCTCGGAACTCTGAATTTCCAACTAGAAGAACATGAACGCGCTCTAAAGTTTGGCTTCACTTTACTAAATGTGACGGGTGAACATGAAACCAGTGAGAACGATCTAAGTGTGAGGCATCATCGTTTTAATCTGCTCCAGCAGCTAAATAAACTGTTTAAGATAACGTTAGCTTGGTATATTAGCTTCCATTGCTACCATTGTTATCAGCTAATGGTGCGTTCGCTTTCTCCTCGGAAATTCTAACTTCCCAGTGGGAAAAATCAAATGCAAAAAGATGGCAAAAGGAATGAAGATACACAGTGAATTTAGTTCACAGTAAAGATGTTTGCTTCAGTTTAATTAACAGCTTATAAAACTACAACGATGATGTTAAAATACAAACAGTTGCGTTATTTATAGTGATATTTATCAAATATTGTTATATATTGAGAAAAATATATATTTAATTATAAAAGAGAATTAAAATAATAAACACTCAAAAGTATCGAAAACTGGTATCGTTAAGTACCGGTATCGTTTCGTAGGTACCGGGAATTAGTACCGGATCGATTCAAATGTCAAAGGTACCTATCCCTAGAACTCCTAAATTATCTCTAGATATTTTTCTTTCCTGTTTCATGCTGTTACTAAGGCAACCAGGGATGCTGTGTGAAAAGGCACTTATTAACTAAGATAAGTCCCACTTTATTAAATGATTTGAGCTTTTTAGGGTCAAACTCAATTGAAAGGACACCTAATTAAATGAAATAAAATCATGATTTTAACAGGTTTCACTGTTTGCTTCACTGTTTCTCTGTATACACATCTCTGTAGGAGTGTTGTTCACTTTCTCCGCAAACTTCCCTTTCTTCTAATTTTTATTTTTGATTTGTATATAATAATTTAGATTTTGTTTATTTTTTGTAACAGATGTGAAATTAGGATGATTATAATGAATGTTATCATTTTCCTGCTGGTGTCTTCCTTTCTTCTGTGAGCTTTGGCTTGTGAGTCACTACCATGGTAGAGTCTTTGTTTACAGCAAATAAAGTCATGACCACTTTTCATCTCAAGCTGTTCCAAAATGTTAAAAAAAAATTTGGATCTAAATATTGCATAATCCTATGAGTTGTAAACTATGGCATGTATTCTATGTAATCATCAGCAGTGTTTGGAACAAATGAAAATTAATTTTCTTTTGTTGTTATATTTTATTCATACAGTCACTATCAGTCCATGTCATAATACTCTTGTAAGACATGAATATTGTTGGTTAAGTTTTATTTATGACACCGGAGAACAGGTAACATGTTTGTTTGGACTGATTCTCACAAACCTGATTCCATTATTCCACTAAGAGACATACACATAAATGTTACCAGGAAGTAAAAATGTGATTTACAATCAAGTGTTCACTGTAAACACAATGAAAAGAAACATGTATATATGTATAAAGCATAATGTGAATTCAATGAGATGACAAAACTTCCAAAGATTCTATTTTGACTTGAAAATGTTTCACAGCATGAGGAAAGTTTCTGGACACCTTTGGGCTCTCTGATGCGTACAGCTGGTTATTTAAACTAGTAATCATCCTTACTATCTGTACTCCTTTAAAGGAGCTGATGAACCTTCTGTCTTTGATGCATGTGTATCATATTGTAAACCAAACTGTTAGCCATATTAGCCATAAGTGGTGTGCTCCGTATGAATGTACCCTATAACATATATTTTGTGGATAAAAAGTAATTTAAAAAACAATATATTCAGTGTGTTTTTCTTTTTAGAAGACAGGGCTCAGAAATAAGAATAACTGGAAGTTTTTTATTTGGTTCTACCTTTTATCCAAGTAACTTTCTGACTTCAAACAGAAATATTCAGTGTACAGGAAGCCTAAGTCACTTCTGCACCACAGGTCCCCAAAAGAACGAAAAAATGAACGCAAGTCAATGGGAATAAAGCTTGGCTTATGCTTGACGCATTTACTTTCCGCTTGGTGATGCATCTCGCGGATGGAATGCACTTCACAACTTGCAGCGTTTATGGTTCGTGCGGCTTGTCTCTGCGGTGAGCCAATATTCTCCCAAACTGAACGGGGCAGCATGGAGCTCTACACGGTATGCATCCAACACTACACCATAGTAGAAGTAAAAACTGTTGTTTACAACATGGCATTCCAGCATTTTTAACAGCGTCCTCGTCTTTTCCAACAGTGCGAGCTATTTCTCTCTAAGAATTATTAACGTGTTGATCACGGTGATCTTTGAGAGCTGAATCAAACAAATGTCTGTATTTACGAACCTCTGCCATACTAGTTCTTGCCGGTCCGCCATGTTTTTCCACGTCCGACCGTCCGCGTGGTTAGGAATTTTCCTAGGTGCACGTTGTGGAAATTTTGGGCCGTGCGGAGGCGCTGTGGAGGGGCGTGGTTAATAAAATGACGCAATTTCGCCACGCTGAGCCGTGCGGACCTCGCGGACGCATCAAGCATAATCCAACCTTAAATGTAATTTTCTAATCCGCTTTGCCTTACGCCCTGGATCACACATGTTATACTGCAATTTAAATGAAAAGTAATGATGGGTGTTTCGACCACGTCAGTCACGTACTTTGAGATTTATTCGCTTGTAAAAGTTTGTAATTAGCATGACTACACACTAGAAATCGGCACGTCGCATTTGTGACGTCACTACATAATCTCCTCTCCCATTACGTAGCTGCTACTTACCAAATAACCAGATTTATTGTGGTTCTTTCTTGCTGTGGGAAGTTTGCTGAACTTACAGCTTTTCCCCTCAGTTTTCTCTGTGTCTGCTTCGATGGCGTCACTTTTATGAAGCGCATTTGTAGTCCTAGACTTATTTTCCACACAAAACCTAAAATAGTGTTTCCCCATGTTCAAAAATAAGCACATTCTTGGTATCAAAATGTGTCTTTAAAATTCACAGTCATCATATGTGAAATCCATGGCCCAAAACAAGCAAAATTAGAAAATAACGTTAGCCCCGTTGACTAGCATTCATTTTTTCATTCTTCCAGGGACCAATGATGCAGAAGTGACTTAGGCTCCCTATTATGCTTTTAAATTTTTGCCAGAGCTTTATTGATGTATGCAAATTTACAAATCAGGATCATTATAGAGTCGATCTGTATAAAGAAGGCTATCATGACTCGCGGAAGGTGTTTAAACCCAAGACATGCAGAATCAACTCGACACCACTGGGTAAGTTAAAGTAGAGTTCTTAATTTTATACCAGGAACTAAAGCAGCACTGGGATGTCCAGTGGATGATGTGCCGTAAGGCGTTAGTCCAGATAGTAATCCATGAATGACGAGGAAGGTGGTGAGCCGAGGTGAGCACAGGTGGAGGCCCCGTTGGCCGAGGTGGGTGAGGCAGCTGAGAGGACCAAGGCAGGTACTGCGGAGGAGAATGGGGCGTGGTTTTGGTGATCCAGGATTCAAGCGGCGAAGATAATGGAAGTAGTTGAGTGTTCCTGAACAGGGCAAAGCAGACAGGGTTCTGAGGCAAATCCAAAAATGTAATATAAAAACAGTCCGTGGTCATAAATCCTAATAATACTAATCATGAGTGGTGCCAGACGCAGAGAACTGGAGACCACAGGCTTGACCAAGGATACATGGAAAGTGGGGTGGACCTTAAGGGACCGTGGGAGGTACAGGCGCATGGTCACGGGACTAGGAACAGCTGCCACCCTAAAAGGACCAAGGAACCTAGGAGCGAATTTCCTTGAAGTAGCCTTGAGGGGTATATCCTTTGATGACAGCCAAACCATCTGTCCCTGGGAGTAGGTCGGTGCCGGGCGACGACGCCGATCAGACAGCTGGTTCCTGTCAGTGGTACGCTGGAGAGCAGATCTCGTGGCTGCCCACACACAGTGGCCCCAACGAAGAAACTGAGATGTGGTAGTGGAGAAACCTGTTTGGAGCAGAAAAAGGATGGCTGGTAACCAAGAGAGGCCTCAAACGGAGACTGACCAGTGGCAGAGGACACGTGGCTGTTGTGGGCATACTCCACCCATGCGAGGTGGTCACTCCAGGAAGCGTGGTTGGTAGCACACACACAGCGTAGCATGGCACCCAGCTCCTGACTCATGCGCTCGCATTGAACATTGATTTGGGGGTGGAACCGGGCCCCCAGGGCGGTGGCGAACTCCTTCCAGACCTTGGACATGAACTGGGGACCGTGACCCGAGAGGATCTCTGTCAGAATTCCATGGAGACAGAACACATGCTTGATCAGGAGCTGGGTGGTAACGGCGGAGGAAGGCAGAGCCTTCAAAGGAACAAGGTGGCAAGCCTTGGAGAATCGGTCTACAATGGTCAAAACAGTGTTGAACCCATAGGAGGCAGGTAGTCCACAAACAAAGTCTATTGTAACGTGACCAAGGACGAGACGGAATAGGCAGGGAACAAAGCAATCCAGCTGGCGGTTGGTTGGTACCTTTTTGTTGGGCACACACATGGCATGACGGCACATATTCCTTGACATCTTTGTAGATGGAGGGCCACCAGAAGGAGCGCTTATTCAATGCCAAGGTTCATCCCACCCCGGGGTGAATGGCGAATCTCCCAGAGTGAGCCCAGTGGATAACTCTCCCTCGAAGACTCTGGGGAACAAACAGTTTATTTGGTGGACCATTACCTGGAACGGGGTCGACCTTGAGGGCCTCCAGAACCTAGTCCCTGATCTCCCAAGTCACTCCTGCCACTATGCAGGAAGGAGGTAGGATAGTACCAGGCGCGGATTCGGCCTCCAAGGCATACTATCGTAAAAGAGCGTCGGGCTTTATGTTCTTTGACCCTGGCCGGTAAGAAATTACAAAGTTAAAACTCGCGAAAAACAGAGACCAATGGTATTGCCGAGGATTAAGTCTTTTTGCCTCCTTGAGATAAATCAGGTTCTTATGGTCTGTCCATATAATGAACAGGTGTTCAGCCCCCTCTAACCAGTGCCTCCACTCTTCAAGAGCAAGTTTTGCAGCCAGTAACTCCCGGTCCCCCACTTCATACCTGCTCTCATTGGGTGTCAATCGCCACAACAAGAAGGCATAAGGGTGGAGTTTGTGGTCTGAAGGCGATACTTGAGAGGACTGCTCCCACCCCAGTGTCTGAGGCGTCCACCTCCAAGGTAAACTGCTGCTTGGGGTCAGGCCTGGAAGAGTACCGGGGCCTAGGTGAATCTCCTCTTGAGTGCCCGGAATGCTGCCTCAGCTTCTGGGGACCAAAAGAAGGGTTTAGTGACAGAAGTGAGACCCGTTAGTGGAGCTGCAGTCTGACTATAGTTGCGGATGAACCGTCGATAAAAGTTGGTGAAACCCAGAAACCGTTGCAGCTGCTTCCTTGTAGTAGGTGTGGGCCACTCCATAACTGCTTGCACCATGTTTACAACTGAAACATAGAATTCACATTTCTCTTCTTTAACAAACAAGTCTGTTCTCTAAAAGTGATTGGAGCACAGCTCAGACATGCTTCTGGTGCTGGGTGATAGACCTGGAAAAAATTAAAATGTCATCTAAGTAGAAAGTCACAAAGTCATTTATATAGTCACCCAGTACCAAGTTCACTAGTCTTTGGAACACCGCCGGGGCATTGGTGAGCCCAAAAGGCATCACTAGGTATTTGTAGTGTCCCAGGGGTGTCTTGAAAGCTGTCTTCCACTCATCCTCTTGGCGAATCCTGACCAAATGATACACGTTTCGAAGATCCAGCTGGGTGAAGATGGTGGCATCCTGGACGGTCTCGAAAGTGGAAGATAGTAGTGGTAGAGGGTACTTGTCCTTAACAGCAATCTGATTGAGACCCCGATAGTCGATACAAGGACGGAGAGACCCGTCCGTCTTGGCAACAAAGAAAAACCTGGCCCCAAGGGAAGAGGTCAAGGGTCTGATGGTTCCATTAGCCAAAGCCTCTGTTATGTAGGTCTGCATGCTGTCTCACTCTGGTTTGGAGAGGCTGTAGAGACGGCTGGACAGAAGCAGAGTGCCAGGTAGTAGGTTGATTCCACAATCAAAGGGGCGGTGAGGAGGCAGCGTGGCGGCTCTGTCCTTGCTGAAAACCTGTTGTAGGTCATGCTATACAGGGGGTACCTGAGAGAGATCGGGGGTCTGAGTTGGCGCCATGCCGGAGTCCTTATACACGGGAGGTGCCGAGTTGAGGCATGTCTGGTGACACTCCAGACTTCAGGTCTAAACTCTGCTGGCTCGCCAATCCAAGAGCGGGTTGTGTGGCGTGAGCCAAGAATGACCTAGCACCACTGGATTCTGTGGGGATGGGAACACAAATAGTGAGAGGGTCTCAATGTGGTTACCTGAGACCTGGAGCTGGAGTGGCATAGTCCTGTGTGTAGTGGTGGACAGTACTCTTCCATCCAGCGAGGAAACAGGCAATGATTCGGGGAGAAGCTCAGTCAAAATTCCCCACTCCCAGACCAGTCGGGGGTCCATCAACGACTGCTCACATCCCGAATCCACAAGGGCAGTGACCAGGTGGCATAGATTGTTCCATCCACAGAGCACGAGATGAGGAACCGGGAGGTTGTATTTTCTGTGTTACTACCCATAAGAACTCCCGGTCCTACTGGTGGGCTTGACCTTTTAGCAACGCCGGGCATGTCTGAACAAAATATCCGGGTTGCCCACAGTACAGAAAGGCCTTTACTGAAACACTGATGCCGTTCGTCCTGAGTTAGGTGGGCTCTTCCCAGCTGCATAGAATCCTCCGACGGCTCAGAAGGAGGAGGT